AATAAATATTTTTACTTTTAAAACAATTTAAAGTTGAAACACAGCCATACGTTCCTCTGGCTACATAACTTGCCATCTACAGAAATGTATAGGGCTACGTTTCAGAACGAACCTATATTGCAACATGGCCTAACTGACAATTTATTTACTTTCTTGTATTTAAATCATTAATGACAGTGAATGTGCAGTGTTTTATTTATCGTAATGACCTTGGTCGAGAACTTCACAACTGCAAACAGTTCGTATTATGACCAGACCAAAAGCATTTATCAATAACACCCTCATTCATTCTGAAGAGCTCAATGGGCTGTAATTACTCAGCATAATAGATTCAACGGCGCCTATAAAGTGAGAGTGAAGAGCACTAGGGAACGTCAGCGGTCTGACACATTCTGACAGAAGCATCAAAATTCCATTGTCAAGAGGATACGGATGAAACCGCACATGATCCTAACCTTACTGGCTGAATTATTTAGTTGTAGTCCCCGCGATTCTCACTTGCCAGGAACCAGGGCTATGAATATTTCAATTCTCTAATTTGCTTGGTGGTTGTAAGTCTAGACTTTGGGGGTTGATTTGATTTGGAATGAACTTTCTAAAGATGTCTAGACGATCTGAAACACATACACACACACAAAATGTGTGTGTTTTGTATTTGGTGTAATGTCTCATCCGCAGGGGTGTTTGTAAAAATTGCATGAAGCTTGGATGGAACCAGACTGAATAACTAGATGTTAGCGACATATCTAACATATTGCACAGACCCAGAAATAATTCAATTCAATTATTGTTTCAAAACAGCTTTATAAAAGATGCACAGTATTACATTACAATTTAAAAAAGTGTTGCATGCAGAACTGTTGCAAACCATTTATTTGTGTTGAATTTAAACAAACAAATTAAATTTTTTAATGTGCCACTTAATTTGTTTGTTTAAATCCAACACAAATAAATTGTTTACAACCATTTAATGTAAAAAATGAGTAAATCCAAGGCATAATATTTGAATATATATATTTTTTTTAGTGCAGAAAACCATAACTTTATTATTTACTAATAACTAACTAACAACTTTTAACAGTTAAAACTATTATATATAAACATAGTTAACTTGCAGCTATATACAATACATGGAGTATATAGGTGATGTCTATGTGTAAACTACCTGACAAAAGTCTAGTCTTTGATCCCATTTGTAAGAGCAACAAATAATAACTGGACTTCTAGTTGATCATTTGGAAAAGTGGCAAGGTAGATTTTTCTGAAGAATCATCTGTTGAACTGCATCCCAATCATCACAAGAAGACCTACTGGAACCCATATGGACCAGAATTCTCACATAAATCAGTCAAGTTTGTTGAAGAAAAAATCATGGTTTGGGGTTACATTCAGTTTGGGGGCGTGCAAGAGATCTGCAGAGCGGATGGCAACATCAACAGCCTGAGGTATCAAGACATTTGTGCTGCCCAATACATTACAAACCACAGGAGAGGGCAAATTCTTCAGCAGGATAGCTGTAAGCAAAGAAAGTCAAGGTGCTCCAGGAGTGGCCAGCCCAGTTACCAGACATGAACATTATTGAGCAAGTCTGGGGTAAGATGAAGGATGAGGCATTGAAGATGAATCCAAAGAGTCTTGATGAACTGGGAGTCCTGCAAGAACGCTTTCTTTGCCACTCCAGATGACTTCATTAATAAGTGATTTGAGTCATTGCAGAGATGTATGGATGCAGTCCTCCAAGCTCACGGGAGTCATACACAACATTCATTCTGTTTCCACTGCACCATGACTTTATATTCTATACTGAACATTATTTCTGTTAAGTGACAAGACCTTTGTCTAAGCAAGGTCAGATCTTACTGTCTTAATAAAATAATTAAAAATCAAGGCATGATCATAATTTATTTAGGTAAAATAAGCATAATCTAGAGGCCTTTGCCTTTCATTAAAACCACTACTAATACCAAAAACGATCAACTAGAAGTTATTATTTGTTGTTTTGAAAATTTGGAAAGACGGCAAGACTTTTGTCAGGTAGTGTATATGTTTAATGAAGTATATTTGAGTATTAAGTCAAATAATAATAATAATAATAATAATAATAATAATAACAATAATAATAATGTTACTTCTGTTATTAAAAATAACCGTAAGAGGTATGAACTAACACTTTTAAACTTTGATTTTTGTTGCCAAATCTGTTAGGGAAAAAAAAAATCAATGAACAAATCTGAAATACTAATAATATTATCATAATATTATAAAATCTGCATATTCTAATTATTTCTGAATAATAATGTGACACTGAAGACTGGATTAATGATGCTAAATTGCAACTTTCAAACAGAAAACAGTAATTTTAATCTTATTAATATTATATAAAAGGTCATACTTTATTTTGATGGCCCATTTGTTAAATATAAGTTATAAGTGCATTGGCAGTCATCGCGTCAACTAATTCTCCTTAGATTATAAACAGACTGTTACGTTAGGGTTAGGGTTACGGTTGGGGTTAGTGTAAGTTTGCAAGTTCTTGCAAAGTTTCTTATAGTCAGTTAAATGTCTGTTTGGCACCAGTATCAACAGATAATAAGCAGACAGTCTACTAATACTCAAATGGACCATCAAAATAAAGTGTTACCAAATAAAAGTATTAATATTGCTGTTTTTACTGTTTCATACAAAAAGCACACTGAAAAAAATCATTTTGCTGCTTGTTCAAATAATTCTTATGTTATTGTCAGTTGTTTTAGGTTCGATCCACTTCAATTTGTAAAACGATTAAGTACAACATAAAGAAATTGTGTGGAGCCCTGCATTGTTTTATGGAGTATATAATTGCAAAAAAATAAATAAATAAATAAAAACAATAATAACAACAACAACAACAAAATAAATATAAAACTTTTAAAATAGCATATGATGTTGTATTATGAATAAACAACAATATTGGATTAAAAGACACTGTGAAAAGTATAAGGAATATTTAGCAGACATTTACATAACGCCCATATTGCAGTAAAGATGGTCAACTGCAAACATGTGCACTTGCAATATGTGCCACATGATTCAATGCAATGACTCAAACAAGTACTACATTTTCCAGGATAAACACTTCGTCTGTGGAATATAATAATATACATTATACTGACCGATCATTATCGCATTATAACATCATGTATATTAGCACCATGCCTGCTTGACAAGACTGTTTTCAATGCTTTTTCTCTTGAATGCACATTTATTAACCTAAACACAAGAGCCTGAGGAAAATGCTCATTTTAAAAGGAAATTATAGATGGTACTTAGAGGTTTTTGCATCTGAACTATTCTGAACTGTTTTTTGAGAAAAAATGGTGATATGTTGAATACTTTTTTCTATATATATATATATATATATATATATATATATATATATATATATATATATATATATATATATATATATATATATATATATATATATATATATATATATATATATATATATATATATATATATATATATATATATATATATATATATATATATATATATATATATATATATACATATATATACATATACACATAAATAAAAAAAAAAAAAA